GCCGAAGAAAAGGAATGGTATAAAAACCAGAAGGAAGAATGGTGGAGAAAGGACGATGGTGATGTCGTCTTTGATGATGACAACTTCCACTATAGAAGTGATAAACTTTGTCTGAAAGGAGATTATCTTGAAACCACAAGACTCAAGTCCAAGCACGAGAGGAATGACAGTTCAATAATTTCAAACCATACCAATGTCAACAACAGGGAGTGGGGTATCCTCTTCTATATGTTGGCACAGGCACTCATAGACTGGTTGATTGAGAATGGAAAGACAGACATCTATGATTTCAGTTTCTCAATGGAGAAGATTGTGGATGGACTTGACGTTGTCTATGTTCTTGATAAAAGTGTAAAAGTTCTTGATGGGGAATACTCTTGGAAGGAAGTGAAGAATCCAGATGAGAAGTTTGATGAATGTATGTATTTCCTTTGTGACCTTGTAGATATGTTCTTCTCTAAACACGGAAAGGATCTTCCTCTTGACTGGAATCATTTCGCTTTCGGACTTGATGACCTTATGGATAGTTGCAAATATGGTGAATGGTGTCCGTGTTCCGATGGAAGTATGTCACTCGGCAACGAACACGATGGAGACAAGTATGACACCTATGATGAATATATGAGCTGCTTATGAAAACATTTGAATATCAGCAGTTTGAATATCATTGGATTTGGTCTAAACCTTCTTGGTTGGAATGGTTGAATGAACTTGGAAAACAGGGGTGGGAACTTTGTGATGCGGTCAGGGATTATGACAAGAGAATTACTTGGTGTATTTTCAAGAAAGAAATAAATGTTGTTTTTGAACCGGTGGAGGAAGAATTATGAAAAGTGATATAAGTTTTGTTAAACTTGCCAAAAGATGGTTTGCACTCTTTCCTCTCTTTGATGAGGGAGATGTGGATGACCTTGAAATGGTGGGAAATGCCAGCATCTTTTTGGATTACTTATATAACCGTAGAAGTAAGGGTGGCGGCATTATATCCCTTGTGGTTTCCGATGAAGAAATTGAAGATGCAGACTTTGTTCTCACATTGAAAGGTGATGACACAGTCTTTGGGGAATGTGGAAAGAACTATGATGTGACCTATGCAAGATTTGAAACAGTAAGCAACATCTGGTTATGTCCGGTATTGAGATGGTTCTTCTGTGGGGAGTACCCGGAAAAAATATATGTCAAATATGAATAAATACATTTTTCTTGATTTTGACGGAGTCATAACTACGGAGAAATCGTTCTGGAAACTCGATGAGGAGAAACTTGTACTTCTTGGTGAAATCCTTGACAAGACCGGAGCAGATATAGTGGTATCATCCTCTTGGAGAATGGGAAGTGTGGAGGCAACAAAGAAAGACCTTTCACAAGTGTCTCATTTTCAACCACTTCCATTTCCATTTGTAGATAAAATAGTGGGTGTGACAGTCAGAGCCGACAACTTGATAATCCATCCGGACGGACAAAGGTCATTCAGAATCCCAAGAGGGGTGGAAATAGACAACTGGTTGAGGGACAATGAGGATTACTATGATGGTGATTACAGATATGTGATTCTTGATGACGATTCGGATATGCTGCTTGACCAGAAGGACAACTTCATACAGACGGATGCCTTGAACGGATTGACAAAGGATGATGTGGAAAAGGCAATAAGGATTTTGAATGGGGAATGAAAATTTCCCCATTTTTTATTTGGAAAAGTTAAATAAATCCATTATATTTGTAATATGACAAAGGAACAATTAATAGAGTTTATAGACAAGAATATTCCCGAAGGAGATCTTGTTGGATTCAGAACATCAAAGGATGATATATACCAGATTGTTGGTATCGATGACGATGAGTCCATTGGTCTTTGGAATATCTTGTTGAGAAGACTTGATGAAAACGAACATCCGTTCGAAGCAGCAATTGAAAACTCCCATATGTGGGAAGGAACTTTAACATCGGAAGTAAATTGGAAATAATATGACAGTAGACAATACAAATGAAATCAAGTCCCTCATCTCCGGATGTGAGAAGGGTGAGTTCTATATGCTCCAGATATTGCATAGAACAAAGGATGGCATCAACCCCTATTCTCCAGACCTGAACAGGGAACAGATCATCAAGACCTATTTTGTGTCCGGTCCCGAATACCTTGACCACAAGATGCCGGAAATCAAGGCACTTTGTGAGATGTTCAATGCAAGGGCCGTCATCAACCTCAACAAAAAGTCTTGGAAGCAGATTTCGGTAAAGACCCTCAATATTCTTTCCGAGGTTTTCACCAAGGAAGATTACAGGAGTGTGAAGTCCATAGTGGAGACCGCCGCCGGACAGACTGGTGCATGTGACAAGGACAAGAAGTGGTTGATAGATGTTGATACCAAGGATGACAAGGAGGTTGCCAAGGTTATGTCCGCACTCAAAGACTGTCCTCCTCATTTCGAGAACAATCTTCAGGCAGTCATCCCCACACTTCACGGATATCACCTCATCACAGGTCCATTCAATCCCAAGATGTTCAAGGACATCTACAAAGAAAAGATTGATGTACATGAAAACAATCCCACATTGCTGTACTACAAGGAGATTGAATAATGAAAGACAGGATAGAGATAAACAACAGGCAGGCCGGTTTCAATTACTTTGTGATTGAAACCTATGAAGCGGGCATTGTGCTTCAAGGGTGTGAGGTGAAGTCCATAAGGAACCGTGAGGTGAATATGTCTGATTCCTATTGCGTGGTGGAGAATGGGGAAATGATACTCAAGAATCTTCACATCTCCCCATACAAGGATTCGGGTTATTCCTACAGGGATTACCAACCCAAAAGAGACCGGAAACTTCTTCTCACCAAGAGGGAGATAAGAAAAATCCATCAAGAGGTGAAGACCAAGGGTGTGACCATAGTTCCTCTCAAACTCTATTCAAATGAAAGAGGGTTGATGAAGATAACCATTGCCATAGCCAAAGGAAAGAAGACCTATGACAAATCTCAGGCAATTAAGGAAAGGGATATTGAAAGGGAGATGAGAGATGTATAGCATGGGTACATTTTATCCCAAATATTTTGAAGATAAAAAGGCAATATGGGTATCCATTTGTTTCAGGAATTTCAATAAGGCGAGAAAAGAAGGAAGAAAACTGGATATGCTGTTCTGGTTGAACAATGCACTTAAAATCAAGAAAGGTTTGAATCCACCTTATGAAGTTCAAAGAAAACTTTGGAAAGAAAGTCAAAAAAATTTGGAAAAGTAAAAGATTTTTGTTATATTTGTAAAGATAAGGAGAAAAGAAATATGATGACAGAATTGAAGAACACACTTGACAGCATCAACAACATGCAGAGAACAGAAAACGGAGCACTCGGTTATTCGACTACGGGAAGCAAACTCGTAGACCTCAACTTCAGAGTACCTTCCAACCATTCCAATGTCTCTTCAAAGGACATTGAGGATTTCATTGCATCATTCAATGAGAATCCGGTGGACACCATCAAGTGGTTGTTCTATCTCCGTGATGTCCGTGAGGGACTTGGGGAGAGAGATTCTTTTGTCACTCTCTTTATGACTCTTCATTCGAAGAACATAGAACTTGCCTTGAAGGTTCTCCCTCTTATTCCGGAATACGGAAGGTGGAAGGATGTCATAGACATTCTTGGTAATGTGGACGATGAGTGTTCCCTTGCTTGTACTATCTATGATATGATTTCCCTCCAGTTGAAGGAAGATTGTTCCAACTTGATGTCAGGCAAGGCAATCTCTCTTCTCGCCAAGTGGTTGCCTTCCATCAATGCTTCCAATAAGGCAAGGAAACTCGCCTTGAGGATATGCAAGAACATAGAACTCTATCCAGCCTCATACAGGAAGATGGTTTCCAAGCTCCGCGAGTATATCGACGTGACCGAAATCAAGACCTGTTCAGGAAATTGGAATAAGATTAACTACAATAAGGTTTCATCCAATGCCAATGCCCGTTATGTTAATGCTTTTATGAAGCACGACGGAGAAAGAAGGCAGAAGTATCTTGACTCTCTCAAGAAGGGTGTCACTGGTGTGAAGATGAATGCCAAGAACCTCTATCCTTATGAGGTGTATGCCAAGTATTCATACAGGAATTCCACTTGGACTCCTACAAAGGCAGATGACAGCATTGAAGCACTCTGGAACAATCTCAAGCAGATGGATTCCATTGGTAACACTATGGTCGTTGTCGATGGTTCCGGTTCGATGGAAACCAGAATCAACGGCTCAAATGTACAGGCAATCGATGTTTCAAGGTCTCTTGGTGTGTACTTTGCCGAGAGAACCGAAGGAGAGTTCCACAACAAGACCATTGAGTTCTCATCCAACCCTCACTACATTGACCTCACCAAGTGCAACACACTTGCCGACAAGATCAATGTGATGAAGAAGAACAACGATTGTTCCAACACCAATCTTCAGAGGGTGTTCGACCTTGTGTTGAAGACAGCCGTTGACAACCATCTTCCACAGAGGGAACTTCCGGACAGATTCCTCATTGTCTCCGATATGGAGTTTGACAATGCATGTGAGTATTATGGAAGTAGGTATGGAGGATACTCCCATAATGAAATTATGAACCAATATAAGTCTCTTTTTGAGGTGATTAAGGAGACTTGGGCAGATGCTGGATACAAGATGCCACAGGTTGTGTTCTGGAATGTCAACTCAAGGACTCAGACCGCACCGGTGTCTGTCAATGAATGTGGTGTGATTCTGGTTTCAGGATTCTCCACCAATGTCATCAAGACAGTCCTCACCGGAAAGGATGACTCTTGGTCTGCACTCAAGGAGGTTCTTGACTCTCCAAGATATGACAAGGTTGCGGAAGCACTTGCATAATGGTCAAAAACAAGCCAAATAAGACACTTTGAGGCAAAATGGTACAAGATATGGTAAAATATCTATAAGTGCCTAAAACAAGCCAAAATGTGGCAAAATGAAGAATGCGGAGTTTCAAATGAAATTCCGCATTTTTGTTATATTTAATTTATGAGTAATTTGGAGTATCTGGAGAAATTTTTCAAGAAACACAATCTCACGGGACGAGTGAAAGTGAAGTACACCGGAATGAAGGATGATGACAATATGTCGGAAATCACCATAGATGACAACACTATGTCTATGGAGGATGTGAGATTTGATATAGACAGCCTCTTGGACCCTAATGTGGGGGAAGTTTGGATGGGTGTGCATAAGGAAACCGGAATAGGTTTCGGGGAATGGATGGAAACAGACAACCATTATATCCCAAGCAATGTGGACACAAGTTCCATAGAGGAGTATCACAAGGAGATGGAGGATATAGTTGAAGAATTGAGGGAAACTGTTGACAAGATATTTACCCTTGTGGATGATGAGAAAGGTGAGGAATAATCCTCACTTTTTTCATAAATAGGGTATGAAAAAGTTTATAGATGTTCTTCTTTATATCTGGCAGTTCCCCCAGAACCTTGCCGGACTAATATTCAGATTATTCACACCAGCAGATATCCTCAAGGTCAAGGATTACAAAGGAGATGTAAATGTGTATGTCTCATCAAAGATGTCCGGAGGAATATCACTAGGAAAATACATCACACTCTCCAAATCATATGCAGATCAGAAGAGGAGTGAGGATACTTGGAATCACGAATATGGTCACACAAGACAATCGAGAATACTTGGTCCACTCTATCTTCTTGTAATAGGCATCCCGTCAATCACATGGGCGGCATTATATGGATGGATAATCCCATATACAAGGAACGGATACTACAAGTTTTTTTGCGAACATTGGGCCGACAAACTTGGTGGAGTAGACAGGAACTAAAAAAGAGGTTGATTTCTCAACCTCTTTTTCTTTTGAATACTCCAACAAGACTTACATCTGTGAACAAACCTTTGTAGGAATCAAATCCACAAAGTTCCCATCCGTCCTCACCGAGTTCATTGAGTTTTCTTTGAAGTTCGTGTACATCACCAAGATGGAACTCATCAACATAGTACTCAAACTTTCCTGCACCATCGGGAACGGGTGATGGTGAGATTGTTTCCTTCTTGGGTCTTCCAACTTTCTTAACCTCTTTCTTCGGAACCGTCACCTTTGGTATCTCAACCTTGGGCTTCTCAATAGTAGGAAGTGTGGGTTTCTTTCCTCCGACAACCATCACCTGCTTATACGGCACATAGGTTATCTCATCTTCGGCATCTGCACCCTCAAGAGGGTCTTTGCCATAATTTGCCTTACAATAGAACTCTCCGTTCTTCTGAATCATTTCGGTGTCATCGAACGTGAAATGCCTGAACGAATGGTCTCCTCTTAAAATACCCTTATACTGCATAACTTAAAATCTAAATGTCCAAAATCCAAGATCACGAAGGAAATCAAAAAGAGATTTGAATTCACCATTGACAGGTTTTCCACAATTGCACTTTTTCTCCTCACACTTCTCACAATCCTCCGGAGTATCACCATCCAACACATCTATGATTGAATTGTAATATCTCCTCTGTGCTAAAATGTCCTTGAGATCCGCATCAACCTTATAGAGTCTATCCTGTAGATGCTCTATCTCATTCTGTATGTCCTTGGATTCTGCACTCACCTCTTTCTCCCTCTTACCAAGATAACCTATTTTTCCATTGACAGATGTACGAATTTCATCGGTGTTGGACGCCTTTGAAAGTTTGTCCGCGAGAATCTCCGGAAAATTATAGTCAAGAGTACCGTTGTAACACTTGGGTTTTGCATCTGCCGAAAGAAAATAATCCTCCTTGGTGAGAATCACATCCTTCTCATCCTCCTTCACATCCTCTTCCTTTGTCTCGGTATCCTCAACATAAGAGTAATATGATGAGATGGTAAGATTTCCATCATTTGACTTGATTGCCTCGGCTGCTGCCGCATTGAAGTCCTCCTCATTATCAAAAGACTTCCCATTGACTGTTCCTGTAAACTTTTTCATAACTATAAAATTTGATATATACTAAATATAACAAAAAAATCAGGATTTTACTCCTGATTTTTATGAACAACCTTACGTCTTGTTGTTTTTCCATCCGTCTTCTTGACGGTCTTCCTTACCTTTTTCTCTTCCTTGAGAGGTGTCTCAGCAACATCTGTGAGAAGTGTTGGTCTTTTCTCAAGTTCTGCAATCTCATCCTTGAGAGCAATGCAGGTGTTTTTCAAAGAATCTATCTCCGAAAGAAGAGAATCGAGATAGGTTTCCTTCACAATTCTTAATCCAAACATAGTACTATAATTTGTTATAGATTAAATATAACAAAAAATATTATTTCACTCTTTTCCATACAAACCCAAGTCCATTCGGTGATGGCATCTTGACCACCCTCCCATTTGTAATGTCTTCCTTGAGTTGTTCTATCCTTGATTTGGGTTTTTCAACAGGGTTTGAAAGAGATTTAGATTGTTCCTTATATTTAGATAATCTATCCTTGAAACCAACAACAACATCAAGTAAGTCCCTAAACTCCTTTTGAGAGAATGCGGTATCAGACCAAGAAAGATGTCTTGTAAGATTATATAACCTTAATGTTTTAATTTTTCTAATGGCTAAAGAATTTTCCAAATGAGTATTATCAAATTTGGCAACTATCTTTTGACCAATATAATTATAATATAATGAAAATACTATACAACAATTATTATGTTTATAATCATATTTCTCACACATCTCAACAAACTTGACCTTGTTTATAGGACTCCAAATATGAGGTTCCCAAAAACAAGCAGTTTCTTTAGGAAAAAGTTTCAATGTCTGGTATAGACAATCGTGCCAAAAGTCTATTTTTCTATTTCTTTGCCATTTATCTTCACTCCAATCTTTATATTTCCTAACTATTCTTGGCTTCATATCATCCCAAGAACTTTCCTTGGTAACAATCTGATCATCAGAAATAACCAAAAAATCCTCGGATAAATCCGGAATATGCTCACAAGCATACCTTATCTTGTGTATGATATTCGCATCCTTACAATGAGTATATGGGTCATCACAAGGAATATGTATCACATCATCCTTAATTTCTTTAGGGGGTTCGGATCCAACTATAAAAATCCTTCCACACCAAGAACTACAATACTTCTTCAAAGATGCAATGACATATTCTATTTCCAGATGGTCTCCACAAGTCATCTCTTCAGAATTAACACCGGACTTACCATATACCATTACACAGTCATGCCTGTTACCAAATGCATTGAATGCTTTATCAAACGAAACACCAAACATTTGCTTAATCCTTTCATCAAGAAGGTCATACATATTGGAGTGATCCACATACTGATGGGTTTTGCCCATTGGTTCTATATCATTATATTTCTTCAATTTAGTACTATTCTTATCAATAGAACCATTCTGCATAGAATATGATGTGCAAGGTCTAAACTTATATCCGTTCAACCATAGCAATGTGGTATAACACCAGTCATCATTATAACAATGTATGAGTTTGTCATTCATAAACTCCTCATACCCTCTCAACATCTTTTTTCTAAAAATGCTTCCTGCCCCACATGACCACACACCAAGTTCTTTCTTCACATAGTGCCATTTGGGGTTATTGCAACTAGTTATTGGTAATCCTGTCTTAATGAATTCATCATATCTATTTTTAATAAATTCTCTTGGTATAAGGGCATCATCATCAATATTGATTATGATATCATCATCTTTCAAATACTTCAAAATGGGAAAAACTTTCTTCATAGTCTTGGTATTTTCCCCATCAACCCAATTTATAATAAGTCTATTATCTGAATTAAAATAGTCAACCAAATCTTTAGGAAGGTCAATTCCCTTAAATTCAGTCTTGCTTAAATTTAAATACACCCTGTCCGGTTGCAAAGAATTTTCCATAACACTCTTCACAACCTCCTTCACATTACATATTCTTTTTACCCAGGATGTTAATGCAACAACTATCATAACTTATTATCAACACTGTATTTTTTATCACTGTAATCCCTATTGTTTATACCACCACCTATAACATTTTTGGCATATATACTGGCGTGACTATAATTTCCCATCTTATTGAAATCATTAATATCAAGACCCCTTTTCCAAATAACATAAGGTATAACCACCTGATCTCTTGTACAATTAACCCTCATATATTCTTTAAAAATATCTTCCTGTATTTCTTTCCCAATATTACTATGAAGATCACTCAATACAACGGCAGTTTCAAGCACCCCACTATGTTTAGGAAACCCATCTTTCTCCAATCTCACTTTCCAAGATTTAAGATTAACAAGATTACCAACCTTCATACCCAACAAATAATCTATATGTTTATATACATCATCATAATTATGTCTGAATGATGGGTGTCTAACCGGATAATAATCATATCTATGACACACAAATCCATATTTCATTTTTCCTATGAAATCATTTACAATTTCAACCGGACTTTTCAACAATATAACTTTAGAATCAATATATAGAGAATAGTCATACCCATTAAAATTGTCATAAGGATGCCACTTGTAGAATTTATTCATATCCTCCTTCAACATATCAGGACGTTCTGTATCTACCTTGATGAGTTTCCAACCATCTCTTTCAACCTCACCATCCTTCACATCATCGGTAAACATAAAGTAATCCACATCCTTGTCCTTGAATGTTATTTCCGGCCAAGGTTTGTTTTTTACATTATTGGTAATATAACAATATACTGCTATCTTCATATAATTTTATGTTGTTTTAAAATGTCCGCATATTCTTTTGTACCAAGATCACTAAAATGAGATATATCAACCCTTGCATCACCACTTATATGGGCTTCTGTTATTTCAGGATGCGCCTTCTTCAACTCACCATATGATGCCCTCTTTGTATTGACAACTATTGGTCTAAAACGAAGTTGCTTATATGCATATTCATATTGTTCTACGGTGGTGCGGACATTGTCCATAAAAATCAACTGTTCTGGCTTAAATTTTTTCAATTTATCTATCATCTCCTTGAAGTGTATGGTATTGTGTCCACTAATTGCAACTGTTGCTGTATTGATACCATAATGTCTATATAGATAACAGCATAAATTTCCTTGTGATGTATCATTGGAAACTTGTGCAATAGAAGAACCCAAAAATATAAGTTTCAATGGCTTGAAAATATATTCTATCTTGTCATCGGATTCAATTTCCATTTTTTGTACTCTTCCAAGTGCGGGAAAACAAAGTTGATATTCTTCATAATTATCAACTATATTGAATTTCAACTCAAAATTTCTATCATGACCCTTACCATCCTTGGGTATATCATTCTGATCTCCCAAAGGTTGGACATCATTCATAACTTCCCATTCTCCATTGAGTTTACCAAGAAGAACCGCTTCATTTTTAAGTTTTTGAGAAAGGTCAAATGTTGAAGGTCTGGAATATACAGTATATCTTATTGTGAGTTTCTTTGATTTAGACTTAAAAGCGACAAACAAACCACAATTATATTTCAATACCATTTCGGCATGAACAAGAGGAAGTTTTATATTCAATCTATTGTAGTTATCTGGGGACTCTATCCTACCCATAACTTTATCAAATGGTATCTTACTAATCATATTTTATTTATGAAAAAAGTCCTCATTTGAGGACTTTTTCTTTGTAAATCTTATATGCCAAATTTCTTTGTTCGTTTGTAAGATAAAAACCATTGTTGGATATGTATGAATCATATATCACCTTCTCATACATATGCCTTTCATCAAGTTTTTCAGCAAGACCGGAAAGTTGTTTAAGGTGTTCTATGGTAAACCCAATTTCCTTGCAAAAATCAGGCACAAGAAATTTTCCCAAAAACATACCCACTTCGCAAGACTTGTGATATTCAACATATTCATCCGGAGAAAGTCTCTTCCATTTGAAATAGCAATTTCCACCAAGCCTTATCTGTTGTTGAATCTTATAATCAACCGGATTGTCTTCAAGTATCAGTACATCTTTATCATGGGGTTCAAAATCATCATAATCTGAAAAGAATGCTGTTGAACCTACAGTAAAACTATCAGTCTTCATACCAACTATTATCGACATTCGTAAATCCAACGGCACCACCAGTCACACCTGTGCATCTCACTGGGTGTTGTTGGGCATAGTAATTGCTTCCGGTCCCATCATAGTTGTACTCTGTATACTCGTCTATTATTTGATGGCATAAATTATTATCTGTACAGCATATCGCACAACCATAACTACTAGCTCCTCCGGCTGTACAGTTCATAAAAATATTGGGCTCATCGAATGAACCACTATTATATCCTTCCAAATAAACATTTCTCAAATTACTACATCTAAAAAATACAAACCTATCCAAAGATATATCCTTATTAAGATTACTGTCATCATTTCCAATATATACCTCACTTAAATTGGTTTGGTTGTCAAACGCAAATTCACCAATAAAACTACAAGATTGAGGTATCCATATTTTTGTCAAAGTATTATTGTTGTTGAGTGTATAATAAGCAAACGCTTCATAAGCTATAGCAGCAACAACATCATTGAATTTCAATATCCATTTCCCACTTTGAGTAGGATCTTCTTGATTGCTAACCACACTTATTCCATACCCATCAACAGTCCAATTACTAGGAAAATTAATCTTGTTACCGGTTGTAGTCCAATACCAAATTTCATCCTGAGGATATTGTGAGGAAGGAGTGTTAAAAAGAGGATGACCATCATCGGCAATCAAAACAAACCCCCTATCATAATCTCTATCCACACTCCCGTCTTTCCTGTATACGACATATATGAAATGGAATCCACCGTCATTTGGATATTTCACTTCGGTCCAATAATTTGATGTAAATGCATTATCTGGGGCCGCTTGTTTTCCTGATGTATGAGCTTTAGCACCACCCGTACCAAAATTAGAGGACAACTCACTAATTGGTCTATTATCATAAGAATCTATTCCGCCATATGGTGCAGTATCCAATTGTCCGGCCACCGTATAATCATAAGATGATTCCGCATAAGAATTGATGTATATAGTAAAATCTGGTATACCTGTAAATTCTATACGAATATATGAATAGGTATTGCCAACACCTTTGTTGCCGTTTGACATATAACAACTATACGACCTACCAGGATATTGTGATGGTACATATGTAGATTCATCCCAACCTCCATAATAGATTTCACCACCGGAATCCCAATAAGCATTCCAGTACTCAGGCTTTTCTGCAGGTTGTCCGTCCTTTATAGCTATATAACCCCTGTCCTCTCCCTCCCACGTAGAACCATCTTTTCTATATACAACATAAAAACTTGTGGATGCTCCATTAAGATTATTGAAAGTGACCTCTTGCCAATTGTTTATATCACCCAAATACCCTATGTCACCTTCATATCCATCGTATTTTGTATATACAATTGGACTCTCATCATTATATCTCTCATTCACCAAATCCTGTAATCTATACTCCTTCACGCCGGTATTGGTCACCATCACATAGTCATATGATTGCTCGGACAAAGTATTTATATAGAATGTAAAACTATCATACCCGGAAATATCAATCCTCATATATGATATACTATCATCCTCCCACAAATTACTATATGACTGAAATATAGAGAAACCTCGTAATTCCGGAGCTATATATGAAAATGTGGACGAAGAAATCCCCTCCCATCCGCAATTTGACTCTCCGATGTTAGCACTCCATCGAGGTCCGGATGGACCTCCGCCACTTATTCTTCTTCTTACTATTGACATAATTAAATTTCAAAATGTAATTTTTCTGGATATCCTGCTTTATAATCAAAATTATCGATTTCTTCAACACTATTCAACGCCTTGATTTCTGCAAGGTGTTTTTGGGTATTGTCATAACACTTGGACGCATAATCCTCTATTTGATAAAGCATAGATGGCGCAACACTCAAAGGTATGGTATAACTTTTTCCATTATACCAAAGAGTGGTAATCTCCTTACCAAGCTGTGTCTCGGCATTGAATCTCAAAGAGAGACCAACTCTAGTTTCCTTATCAAGCCAAACCAAGTCCTTGCCTATATAAAAAGCATTGACGTACTTGGATGTGTCATACCTGTTTATCCTGTTCCTCATTTCAACCTTTGCCTGTGCAATTGTTCTTGGATTAGGTTCGGGTTCATAATCGGAATCAGAGTCTCCGGGAATGTAATCAAGAGCAAGATTCCACACTTCTTTAGGTGTGGCATCCGGGTAGTCAAAATGGAATTGTTTCTGCTCCTCGGAAAGAGGAACATACAATCCATTGAGATAATCCTCCCAAGTGGTACCTAAACGATTGTTATTTTTTTCACTTGGAGAAAAAGAAATATACATAAACGGGGACTTATCAAATTTCCCCAATTTGTTGGTTATATATAATATATCTGCCATATTTTTTTAAAATTTTATTCAAAATCACAAGGAGAAACAATAACATTATCATAGGTATTTACATTGATATACCAATTATTTCCCCACACTCCATAACCATAGCTGAAATCTGTGACAACCGGAATGATGTTTATTTCGGTAATATTATGTGAAGGAAGATGTATACTAAAATCCTCTTCGTATTCTTCACTTTGGGCTATACATTCATCGCTTCCCGCAACTATAATATTCCCAAGAAATCCGCACTGCTCCCAACCATTGAAACTCAATACAAAAGAATGTGCCGATGGATTTCCGCTAACTCCATCAAAAATCATATGAAAATTATTTCTTCTGATTCCATCACCCCTGAACAAATTTTCCGGGTAAAACTCTACATATCTTCCGCCCTCTCCAGAACCTTTCTTATCAAGTTTAACAACAACTCCGGAATAATTGGCAACCACATTACGTATAAAATCTCCCCCTCTCACAGAACTCTCAAATTCTGTGAAAGACATATACTTGAACGGTGCCAATTGACCTTTTAAACCGGAAAGTCCTATGAATGCAACTTTAGGATTTCCATTATATCCTCCGATACCATTCAAAAGGATGTCACCATCAACATTTATATCTCCGGAGACCGGTCCCACCAATCTAGATGGTCCATTTACTATCAAATTATTTACTTCTGCCATATTATATTTATATTTCTTTTATTTTGGGTGAGGTTATCATATTGTCATATATACAAGTTCCTTCATTAAGCTGTGTAGGTATATGTATAGATGTCGAGGGGTTGCTTTGATTATTCGCCACACAATTATAACCAGTTATTAGATTTACCATATATCCTCCTAATCGATTATTACCAACATCATAAGGTAAAGGTACGAACACTCCTACAAGCACGTCATTTATCTCAATTCTCACACTGTATATTCTTTTTTTTCTTGTAGAATAACTACCTGTAAGGGCACCTATTTGATAATATCCTCCGTTAATGGCACTTGGATTATCATATATCACAGTATTGACTTTGGTTATATCATCGCTTGTATATGTTGAATAATGATACTCCCATTGACCCCCGTCTGTCACACCCCAATAATCACTACCAGCCGTTGAAAATCCCATCAAGTCTCTTCCACTTCCACCAGAAAAATATTGGATTACTGTAGTGACCTTGATGTGAGAACCAGCGGGTACATAAACATCCGTAGGATAATAATCACCAGCCCTCACTTCTATAAAATAAGGATTTTCTACAAATGCAGAACTTTGAATGGCACTGTTCTTCATTATCTTACTCTCACAAATTCCGGCAATGTCTATGTAATCCACAGCACATATCTTTCTTTTATTATCATAATTAAAATCTCCCAAAAAATTATCGTCAGAAACACAACCAATAGGATCATATAAGATACTTGAATTATCATCATAATCCTCTATTGATGGAAGCCCCGGAAATTCGGTTGATGTTGTCAATAGATAAAAAGGGTATGTGTCACCCCTACCATAATCACCCCTTTGTTTCCACTTATAATAATCAACTCCACCCATATTAAATGTGCCGGCAAGTACATAATATTGTTCATCATCAATATGCCTGTACCCATTGTACATATCCGAAGCATAAAGCACCTTAACCATTGTTCTCATAGGTTCATTGAAACTTTCCGCCATCAATGTTCCCTCATTTGATATCATAGCCTTGGTGTTGTACAATTCCATAACATCACTTGCAGATAATACAGAATTGTATATACGAAAATCTGATATATCTCCCGAAGTTAAAGTTGAACTTGAACCTATTGTTGTAATTTCATTTACAAATACACTATCATTTGCACGTTCAACCGATAATTTTATACCATTACAATAAATTGAGACATTTATACCATCATAGGTAAACACCATATGTTTGTCTATTGTATTAATTAAGGTTGAGATAATTATGTCTGAAATTGATGCTGTATATTTTCTTCCGTTTTTATTCATTAAAGGACTAAGTGGATCGTCGTTTTGCCTCAAACTTGGTATAAAAATACTCCAAGATTGGGATGATGGGTCTCTACTTATTATAAGTCCTTCTGAAGTTTTAAATACTGTTCCATATAGACTCTTATACCAAAATGAAATGGAAAATGGACAACCACTTATTGTGGTGATTATATCTCCTCCGTCAATATCATATGACATAGTTCGATCCAAGCAACTACTCAAATCATCGGACAATAATATAGTGGAATTATTTATACCTGTAGATCTTTCATATCTTGGAGAATGTTCTATAAGAATGGGTTGACCATCATTTATCTCACCATCATTCCCCATACCCGAACAATCATACAATTTTCCTCCTCCATCTCTTTGGATTATGAGACGGGGTTCTCTAATTATACATTCCGTGCCTCTTCCCACAACAGTTGTAGATATATTCTTTGTAGCACCTGGGTCAATATTAAGACCTATATATGTATTTTCATCTATACCCTCAAGTCTTATAGTCAAATCATATGTAAGATAATTATAGGTTACAATTGTCCCGTTGATAGTTGGTGCCAAGCAATTACATGCCGGTCCATAGTATGATTTAACAAATGGCGTCGGTTCGCCTATAGAAATTTCTTGGTTGGAACTGAACTCACTATTAGAAGACAAGAATATATTGGCAAAACTAAAATGAGGATCAAAATGTGATTTGGCACCGGTTTCCGCCATTTTAAATTCAAATGTAACCACATCTCCATTCTTCAATCCCAAATCCCCGCATTTTTTATAGAACATAATTCCATAAGCCGGATTTGAACCAATGAGTGCAACATATCTCGCCGTTGTAGAAACTATTATATCATCATATCCATTATATGATGTTGCCCCTCTAAGATATACATCCCAATCATTTACTGAGTCGCTGCCTATGGGAATCCATCTACTTTCCCCACTTTCGGGTACGTATGGATAATATGATGCAGGAAATGTCTTTACAAAATCATCGCCGGTTGGTTCATAACCTACACCATATATTTCGGTGAGGTCAAAAAGCATACAGTTCCTTATGGAAAAATCATAGGCATCTTCTCCAGTTTCCGAACCGAAGATTTGAAACATAGTTCCCGCCTTGTCCGTCATTGCCGTGAAATTATATATAAAATCAGTCCACACATAAGACACGGGTATATTTTTTGAGTATATACCGTTACCCGATTCCGTATGTTTTCCTTCCCAAATTAATGGACCACCCCAAAGATCATTATATCTATACTGACATCTGAAACAATATTTGTGGCTTGGTTTGAAGTTATAATTATATTTGATTACATAACCTCCACTTCCATAATAATTGGCCCCCTTGAATGTGAGTGTTCCATTATCTATAGTGGTGGCACTATGATTCATTCCACCCCAATTCCAATCGGGTAAATCCGTAATACTATCGGTAATGGGATTCTTGGATGAATTTTTAAAATCACCATTGGAAACCAATTGCCTGAATTTAATGGTGGACAATGATATGTCATCAAATGTATAATGAGCAACAAGACCCCAATAAAGCCTCTTTATTTCCTCCGGAGAAAGAACCTCATCATATATCCTGAAATCATAAATGTCTCCACTAAAAGGATATGAATTACCCCATACCCACGTAAAGCATCCAACACCAAGACCATCGGCCTCGGTATATGTAGGAAGAGAACCATTGAATTCATAATCCTTGACTACTACACCATCAAGATACACTTTGCAATTTGTTCCCTTCTTGGTGAATGCCAAATGATGCCATCCGGAAGTTATGTTTATAAGTTGCATATGGTTGTCACTGTCGGTTCCGGTTCCAAAAAAAATTATCAACCGGTAATCTTTGGTGGATGATTCTTTGATCGCTCCAACCGGACAATTAAAATTTGGTTTATAACAATCCCCACATTGCGCGCATAGATTCGCATCTATGGAAAAATCCGCTCCGTCCCACTCCTCGATGGCCCCCGTCGGACATATATCACAACAGATTCCACAATTAGTGCAAATATTTTGGTCTATATAATATTCCCCATCTCCCCTTGACCATTGTTGGAACTGCAATCCATATCCACCCGAGTTCATATCAACTCTACCAACAGTAAAGACATAAGAAGCATCCCCAACTACATTATCGGGATTCATCCATACAGACCAAGTAAAATTATCTGTGTGATATATCTGTTCTATACCTTTACCTGCAGGTATATCTATATCCGTTCTATTTCTCAAATTATATAGATGGCAGCCATCACCCGTAAGATGAAGAGGATGACCAAATCTATCTGGGATATGATAGGCATCGGCATCCAATAAATTTTCGGACTCAAACAACCAAGGACTCTTTGCTAACATTCCTTGATTGAAATCCTTACTTCCATCCTGTTTATTAAATGGTATCCATACTTGCAAACTCATACCTTAAATATAACAATTAGATTATAAATTTAACACAACCCATAGAGACATCGTAAGTCATAGTTGCACCCGCAGAACCACCAACCTTAACTTCATTTGTTGTTAAGGTGCCGTTTTGAGAATAAATTTGTGAATTGGAATATGTTTGAGGATTTGTGTCTTGACTAGTTGCGCCAACCAAGAAAAGTTTAGATGCATTATTTGTGGCACCGGCTGTGTTCTTGGTATCAATTCCAGATATATAGTTACCATTGATAGAAACATTACCATGTAAATTAATTTCACCCGCGTGTATAACTAAACAGTCATCCTCATCTTCTTTAATATAGCAATATACCTCTTCAGTACCAGTGGCATCAAAATCATCTCCAAAATAAATCCCACCTCCGTGAGTACTGCCAGGTATAGCCGAAAGATGTAGATATTTTCCATGTATTTCATTCCAATGGTGTTCTCTATCTCCCAAATATCCACCGGTTTCATCATAACCAACATTGGGAAGTATTCTATCCGCCTTGATGTTCCCGGCAAATATATCACCGAGAAGCCTTGATGCACCATTTACTATCAGACTTTTTAATTCTGCCATATATATTAAAATTTATTTTTCAAATCTTTTCAACCAATCGGTTATTGTTATGGACTCCATAAGCATACCCTCTCCAATCACTCGGCTCCTGACCATATTGGAAACCTGCATCTTGCTTACAGTGTCAATCTTCTCCCAGATACCTTTGTACTTCCTGTAGTATCCTCCGAACTTCTTCTCCACATCCTCCCTGTATGACTTGTTCCTCACATCCACCCATTCCGGTTTGTTCATACTGTAATATGTGTGAAGGAACATATAAGCAACATAATAATTCACCTTGTCCTTTCTCTCCCTTCTTCCAAACTCCTCTATGAGTGCATTATATGAATCAAGAAGATGGTCATAGGTCTCAAGTGTGAATTCTGACTTATGCCTGAATGTTGCACCATCCCTCCAGCACCAGAGATAAAAAGGTGTGGGGCAGTACTTCACATTGGCGGTGCAGTTCTGTGCAAGGATGTTGAAATACACATCATCATAGAACTTGAGTGATTCATCAAACCTTATGTTGTTGTCAAGAAGATACTGTCTCCTGTAAACCTTTCCATAGATGAAGGTTGGATCCATATCCCTGTCCACAAGTATCTTGTTCCTGAACTTGTCCATAGTCTCCTCCTTGAAAACCGAAGTGAGGGTGTCAAACTTCCCCTTTGAGATCTCATT